CTTGCCAGGCCGTGGCTGGCTGGGGGGTGGGGGGGCTGCCCGTGCTGCCTTTAGCCCCTCTAGGCCCTGCCATGCCCCCTTGCAGTGGGATGTGCCAGTAGGTGCCTGTACCCATTAGCTGAGTCCTCGCCCTCTGCCAGCGTGGCCAGCTTCTGCAAGTTACTATGAGAGGCAGTGTGTGGGGATGCAGCCAGCAGCTTCCCCTGGCACATGGCCCCAGTGAGCAAAAGAGGCACGGAGCCCATCTGGGCTGGCACCTGGTGCCCTCTGCCCACCTGAGATGGCTCCTGAGGCTGGCCCCGGGGAGGGGTGAACTCTGTGTCCTGGCTTTGCAAGGCTGGGGGGGTTTGCTGGCCCTGCCCTTAAACTCAGCTCTTACTGTTGGAAGGTTTTTCCTTCCCCGTGGCACTTTCTTGCCTTGACGCGGGAAAGGGATCTGGGGAAATGCACAATCTCCTCCATGCAAGAGGCTGAAGCGCATCCAATGGAGGGGTCTGGAAATGCGGCAAATCCCACTTTTAGGTACTGGCTCCCGGCACTTGGGGCGCCCAGCTTCATTCTGTTCCTAGTTTTGGCCAAGACTTCCTGTGTGGCATTGGGCAAGTCACTGAGCGTGTGCGCCTCGGTTTCCCCAGCTGCATAATGGATGAATTGCATGTTGCTGCAGCTCCTGGGGATGGGGTGTGGATCAAAAAAGTACATTCCAAGATAATGAGGTGCTCACGTATGGTAGATAGCCATTAGAAAGCCAGGATGGGTGAGGTCGTAGCTTTAATTGGACTAACTATAATATATAGCATCCCCCACCTTATGTCTCAAATAGCTTGGGAGCCACACGGAGGAGAGTAATTGGCACGAAGGAGCTTTGGATTTCTGACTTGCTCCGGACTCAACGCTGAGAGCAAGCGATTAGCATGGGGAGGGCACCGGGCCGGCCGTGCAGATACAAATTGCTGCTAGATCTCAACCCTAATCCCATTTAAACCCGGGCCAGAACGCCTCTTGATGTCAGTTGGCTCTGAATTGTGCCCATAGACGGCCGAACAGACCCACTTCTAATCCTTAGGGCGGCCTTTCCCCAATCATCTCCAGCTTTATTTCCTAAATTATTAGCCACACTCCTCATTCGTGGTGTTTCGCTGCAGTCAGGTTCTGTGGAAGTGATAGAAGCGGGTCTACGTATGTTTGCCTCCATCTCCGTAAAAGATATTTTGTCTGTTACTTTCCAGGCCTTAATATTTCCTTGTGAAACAGCAGCTGTCTCCAGGGAAGACGAGAAAACGCTCACCCATCTCTCTGGGCAGAGCAGAAGCTCCACTAAGCACCCGAAGGACACGGTGCTGAATGATGGAAAACCGCCCAGCACAAGAAGATCCGCATGAGGCCGCCGGCGGGGAAGAGAACGGCTCGGCGACCGTGCTACTGCATTTATATCCACATACGGAGGACAATGCCGGTCCAGATCTTGACCAAGGCCATGATGTGCAAACCAGTGAGTTGCCTGGGGTTGGCGGGGTGCTGAATGGCTGGGAAGAATGGATCCCGGAGCTGGTAGTCACTTTGCATTGTGAGTGGGAAGTAAATCCAGATGAGGCAAATTCCTTGTTACGCTCTTAGAAGGGGAGGGAGGAAGGAGTTCTGTCTGGCATCGCCATGGTACTTTATTAACCATTTGGAAGATTTATTTATTCCCAAAGGGTTGGCTAGTAAACATTGCACGGCCCTTGGAAGCTGTGGGCTGCGTACTCTTGTTCACTGCATTCTGTTAGATTGGATCAGTCCCTTTTTGGGAAGCTTCCCTGCAGAAGGGCCGAGCCCAGATTCTGCTCTTCAGCAACAAAACTCCCACTCACGTTCTTCACCCGCTTTTTTAACCTTTGTTTTTTAAACAACAGGTGCTGCCCTGAAGCACTCGACCGCCCCGACAGACAGACAGCGAGGCAGTGAGGTCTCTGCTCTCCCAGCAACCTTTGACAGTGAGTAGTACGGGTCTTCAAGATCACAAACACCGGGGCCCAACTTCTACTGGGACCCAAAACTCCCAAGTCTTAGAATTTCTTTGTTGGTTAGCAAATCCCTCTGAATCCCACTGACAAAGGATGTATCTTGTCCCCCTCGTGGGACGGGGCCACATAGAAGATAATAACTTTCTATTGCTGCTAGTCACTCCAGTAGCTCACATAGTAGAGGACTATGCTATAAATCCAAAGAGCCTAACCTTGCTGATGTGGGTGTATGAACAATCTAGTTCCGCAAGGAGGATTTTTTGGGGCGTGGATTTGAGATTTCCCCCCGCCCCCCAATTTTCCTCTCCTTAAAAACTGTAGGAAATTGCATTACAATATAGTAAACATACATTCGGGTTGCAAAGCCAAGTTTCCAGGAGTTAGAAAATACCACAATTAAGATTGCCGGTGCAACCTTACTCCACCTGCCTTGTGCTTATGCTTAATGAGTCTAGGGCCCTACCAAATTCACAGTCCATTTGGGTCAATTTCATAATCATAGGATTTAAAAAATTGTAAATTCCATTCATCTGAAATTTCACGGTGCTGGAACTTTAGGGGTCCTGACTAGGGATGTAAAATCCTGTTTAATTAGTTAACCAGTTAAATTTAACATTCAACCGGTTAACTAATTAAACAGAGATAGGGGGGGGAGCAGGAGGGGCCCTCCAGCCTGGCTGCTTCTGACCCTGTGCCAAGGCCCAGCGAGGCTGGAACAGTCCTCCACTTGTGATGGGTTGTGGACGGAGGCTGCTCGCAGGTAGTGGTTAACCATTAGCCAGTAAGCATCACCCGGTAAGGTTACCCATTACCTGTTAACATCCCTAGTCCTGGCCCAAAAAGAGGTTGGGGGACACAAGATTATTGTAGTGGGGTTGTAGTGTTGCCATCCTTACTTTTGTGTTTCTGCTGGCAGGGGACTGCCTTCAGAGCTAGCCACCTGGCCAGCAGCTCTCTGGCCACCCAGCTCTGAAGGCAGCGCAGAAGTCAGGGTGGCAATATTTCTGCCCTCCTACAATAACTTTGCAACACCCCCCTGCATTCCCTTTAGAGTCGCCATTCCCAGTTTCAGAAAGGCAGGTCTCCCTGTGACATCTATATAGTAGGATAAAAATACAGAAAAGATCAGATTTCACGGGGGGGGATGCCAGATTTCACGGTCCGTGATGCATTTTTCATGGCCGTGAATTAGGCAGGGCCCTAACTGACAATTAATTATGTGATCACAGGCTATTTTGTAACACAGAAACCCTGCCTCCTCTAGTGCTCAGGCTAAGTGAGTGAGCAGCAATTATTCTGTTTCCCATTCCGTGTGTCCCCGGCCTGGTTTCCTGCCCACTGGTCTAAATCTGCTCTGAATACAAAACTGTAATTTCTTCGTGGGCTTTTCTGCCCTTTTACCTGCAGTATTTTCTGCCTTGGTATCGGCGTGTGTTACAAACATTAATGAATTTAGCTTCCTAACACCTCTCGGAGACGTTCCCATGGGACAGGTGGCGAATTGGAGCCCACAGAGATTAAGATCAAAAGCGTCCTGTGGATTTTTAGCTGCCCGATTTGAAACGGCTAGGGCTGACTTTTCGTTATTGAGCATTAAATAACGTTTTGGGTGGTCGCAGCACCGCTCCCATTGGCATCTGGGGCGTCTGTGTGGGTGCAGCGTGTCCCCAGTGACGACTGACCCCAGAAATTGTTCCAAACACAGCCGTGCGTGGAACTGCTTTCCTGGCTTCACGCTAGCTCGGCCGTGCTAGGCTCCTCGAATCCCAGTCGATAGATTTCCACGCTGCCAGCTCCCAGTTGGTGAAATTTCCCCCGGGGGGTACTAGCCCCGCTCCAGTTCGCCGACGCGTCACCACTTCGGCTCTGTTTTAAACAAAGCAGGTACGTCCCTGAAGCACTCGACCACCCTGACGAACAGACAACGAGGCAACGAGGTCTCTGCTCTCCCTGCCACTCTGGACAGTGAGTTTCGCCGGGCGGTGAGATCACGTGCTCAGCGGTGCCACAGCGGATGGGATAGATGCACGTGTGCGGGGGCTGGGGTCTCGCCGCCTTTGTCATTCTCGGGACCGGCAAAGCAGGTACGTCCCTGAAGCACTCGACCACCCTGACGAACAGACAACGAGGCAACGAGGTCTCTGCTCTCCCTGCCACTCTGGACAGTGAGTTTCGCCGGGCGGTGAGATCACGTGCTCAGCGGTGCCACAGCGGATGGGATAGATGCACGTGTGCGGGGGCTGGGGTCTCGCCGCCTTTGTCATTCTCGGGACCGGGCTGGGGAGGGGGCCCCAGCGTGTCAGGTGCTGTACAAAAGGAAGATCCCAGGGGCTAGCTGGGGAAGGCAAGCCCCAGCCCCGCCCCTTCTGCCTGAGGCCCCGCCCTTGGAGCCAAGCCCCGCCCATCCTGCCCAATCTGGCCGGGACTGTTGCTCTGCAGCCTCCGCCCCAGCCCTCCCCTGCAGCCGGAGAAGCCGGGCAGCCATGGTCAGGCATGTAGGCAATTTACTGGCCGCCCCTGTTCTCAGCCTCGTGGAGAGAGCTTTGAGGTTTTCGGCAGGGCGGAGTTGTGTTTGAAGCTGTTGCCTCTTCCTCTTTTTTTTTCTCTTGTGTACGTCCTGTGTGGGGCGTTGCCCAGGGGGATTTCCTGGGTTTCTGCGGTGGGGTGCTAATTGGGGCACGCAGCATAACATGGGGCCCAGTTTAATTCTGCCCCACGCTCCAACCCAGAGCACAAAATGCGACCCCCTAATGCAGCAGCCTGCCTAGGACAGCCCTGGCCTTACTAGGCCGAACTGCAGACTTAACTAGCTCCAGGTAGCCGGGGGGAACTGTGGAATTCCAACCGTGTGTTTCCTTTCCAACACCAGCTTTGTCCATCCACCAGCTGGCCGCTCAGGGTGAACTCAGCCAACTGCGCTCCAACCCAGAGCACAAAATGCGACCCCCTAATGCAGCAGCCTGCCTAGGACAGCCCTGGCCTTACTAGGCCGAACTGCAGACTTAACTAGCTCCAGGTAGCCGGGGGGAACTGTGGAATTCCAACCGTGTGTTTCCTTTCCAACACCAGCTTTGTCCATCCACCAGCTGGCCGCTCAGGGTGAACTCAGCCAACTGAAAGAGCATCTCCGGAAAGGTGCGTGGCCTCGAACGTCCCGGCCGGCCGGCTCCTTCCCCCGCGGTGCTCAGGTTCGAGGGGTCCTCTGAGTTGCAGGCGTGGAGCTGGAATGGCTGCATCAAGCCCGGTGACCATACTGGGCCGTTTCTCCCCGTGGCCTCTGGGGGCCACTTCGGGAGGAATGAGGCCTTCAGCATGCCTCAGCGCCTCTGCCCGGCTTGCTGAAGCTGGTCGCAGCCGGGGGCTGGCTTGTGGCTCTGGGTGGTAGGCTGGAGCGGCGAGGTTCAAACTTTTTTTCTCCTGACCCAGTTGAAGAAAATTGTTGATGCCGCGACCCGATATAATGTGACTGAAGGGCGGGCTCCGGGGTGGGGCTGAGGAGGAGCTTTGGGGGGTCGGGGGGGGGGTTTGCCCCCGCG